ATTAATTCCTTCCAAATACAGTTACTCAAGCTTTTGAGGTCAATTCCTCTATGTCTTCATATCAGAGAAAAATGAAATATTGCAATGTCATTTTTTCCCCAACATTGAACAGCCATACAAAACAGCCTTTGTAATGTACATGAGGCATTTCGACATGTGACAGTAGAAAAGGACTGCTGTTGTTGCTGTTGTTGTGCAACTTAGTTCACTGTCACACAGTACTGATATGTACATATAGAAGTACACTGGACTCATTTTCATGCCCTTCATACCAGCCAGTGGACTTTCAGTGGATTTCTGAGGGTTAACTGTGAAAGTGCAGTCAAAACATTTTGTCCTTAAAATCATTGAATAGTTGTGATAAATATTCGTAATGTCAGTATTGATAAAAAATAATCGTGATTATGGTTGTGGTTCTAATTGTGCAGCCTTAAATCCACCTGCTCTGCTGTCATCAGCTGACCAGCAGGTCACCAGGGCCTCATTAGACACTGTTGTTTGGTTTCACATTGAGTTTTTCTCATGTTCTCCCGGCGCTCCTTCTCCTCTCTCAGTGTGTTTATCTATCCTTCCGGCCACCCACAGTCATGCTCAGAACTTGGCCCACATCAGCTCCCAACCAAACAAGATTTTAGACTCCACAGTTTCTGCCCTCAGCAGGTTATTTTTCTGTCTTCCGTCTAAGATGATCGCCCCCCAGAATCCTGTGACTGGATCTGCTTTGCTTCGTTGCATTTCTGTGCAAACCGTGATAATTAGTTTACATGAATCAGCCCTGGAGGAATAGTGTAAGCCTAAACTTAGTTACACTTAATTGCAGTTTTACCATGACATGACTAATGCATAAATACATACCTCGTTGTGTGACCACATCACTTGAATAAGGTGATGATGAAGTTAGTTCTCACAAACTGTCCCACTGAAAGCTGTGAACGCAACACGAAACATCCCGGACTGAAAAAACAGATAGTTAGTCACAGCTATAATAGACGTCATTGTGCCTGCTTCCCTTGTGAGTGCATCGGGATGCAGCGCATAGTTGAGGTCAGGCAGCAGTGGCTGGATGTGTTGTTTTTGAACAGCCCACCAAAGCACCCGTGAGAAGCCAGGAGGTCCTGGATCACCAGAAGAAGCCCATGGCATGTTCTCTGCCCCTCTGGTTCTCAGGATGGGCTGATCAATAGGGCCGCCTGCCCGAGTCTAGACTCGACCAGCAGCTTTGGACCGTACCTCAAAGGAGAGGCTTGAATTTCTTGGGAAACTTTTCCTTCTTGTACACTGTAAATATTTTGCCTCCTTTACTCGCTCTCTCATGCTGCTTACCGAGTGTGTTTCCCCTGCTCAGAGCTCACAGCCCTGTTCTCCTGCCACGCTGTTTGATCTTTGATGCAGGCCGGGCTGTTTCAAGAATATCAAAGAAGCACAATAGCTTATCCTCACCAGCAGGACAAGTCTAGGCCCACTTTTAAGAGTTTGATTCATGATGTTTTCGCACAGGTTCAAGGAAAACCTGTTGCCTTTTTGCGGTGCGTTTCGTAATGCTTCGCAGGCTTTAATCTTTTGTTAGCTTTTGGTTGAGTAACATATTGTGTGATGCAGGTGCAGTGACTTAGGTCATTGTTGCATGTTGTCACATCATGCTTCTCATTTTATCATGAGTCAGCAGAGTTCCAGGCTAACTTTTCCACTGGTAGCACTGGTGCTCCTACCTGCTTCCTTTGGTCGTCCCCACACCTTTATTCTGGAGCACCATCATCACAACTAGTAATCCACCTTGCATGCAGACAGAAAGTTGTCTTTGCATAACGTAGTTCTGCATTGATGACAAGAGTCTAAGTAATTCAAGACAGAATATTTGTAAAATATTTTAATCTAAAAATATATTCAGTATGTCTGGGCACAGGCTAAGCACTTGTTCTACGTTTTGCTTATGAGGTGCTACAATTTACCTATGTTCCCTAAATGCCTCACGCATGCTAAAGTACACGCTAGCTAAGCGACAGTTCAGACAGGTGTGAGGCCAAGCATGAGTTGGAAAATAATGAAATGAAGCTTCCTAGAAAGCAGCTGATTTCATCTCCATTAGCTGTTAGCAGTCATTTCTATGAGCAGACTTTCCAACAAGCTGAGTGCATTTTAAAGCGTCAGTCCTGCAGTTGATTGTGTTCATTTAACTGTAGGAATTCAAAATTGTTATTGCTGTGAATAATTGCTGCACCTGATATTTAGCTGATCTGTCTGGGTGTGTTTCTGGACCCAGGTAAATAAACTTTAACTCATTTGATGTGTATATATAATCACAATTTTCCACCTTGTTTCACTGTTTTCAAGCTAATTTTTGGTCTGAGTGGAGACTAGAGGCTTCTCTGTGCACGTGAGGTGTTTAGGGGACACCTGTTAAACTGTAGCTTCCGCAAACACTAAACTGTATGATATATGATATAAACTGCCACTGAGATATAATCATGATATGATATGATATGATAAAACTTGTAACATCATGCATTTATTGCAAAGAGTTTTTGCTGTTGGAGCATCAATATTCCAAACTGAAATTTTTAAAAACTCATCTTGTGTTGTGACAGGTGTGTGGCTGGTACAGCAACAACAAACTAACCAGTCAGAAATGATGACAATATTAAACACTGCTTATAAAATAGCAAAAGAAAGGAGGTAATTATCACTGTCAGGCCCAGATTGTCCTGAAGAAAAAGGTCTGCACCTTTATTCCAGTTTACACTCACTTTCGGTATGTATGAAGAAGTCATCAATGTGTTACAATGTGGGAACCGACAAAAACACAGAATACAGTCGTGACTCGATAGTTTGACACTAAATGTAAAACCTTCTTTTATGTCGGATAGCAAGGCTGTCGGATTGTCAAGACGGAGGTGGAGATACAAGGAGGGCTTGATGCTTGAAGGCTCATTTGTTGTTAATATTTATTGTTCATGGTTGTTATCATAACTAGCAGGGCTGGTCTGAATAGCACTTTCTGGTCTCTGGATATTCAGGCCCAATTAATGATGAATATCTGAATATTCTGTGCAGTCGGGGGAACACTCCGACGGGGTGGAAGTGGCTGGAATATGCAGGCAGAACTTGGCGGCTGATGCTAGTTTAGGACAGTGTTCACACTTCTGTTTCAACCATCCGTGTTTACTTCCGTAACAACTGAGCACGCTCACTGCATGTGACGTCATCGTTTCCTTCTTCTGCACATGCGGGACACTTTTGGGTCGTATGAAGTTCACACAGCAGATCACATACAAGTCGCAATTAATTGGAAATGTGAGCAAACTCACAAAAAAAATCGGATTTCACAAAACATCTGAATTGAGCATCAAGTCCTGCAGTCTGAACATCGCCAGTCTGTCGGATTGTTAAGTCAGATAATACGCCGTTATCCTTATTTGTGACATAAAATGTCATGTCAGAGTCGAAATCCAAGGCTATCGATATGTTAAGGCTATTTTTCATGGGTTCCGTTTGTTTTTCCTAAAAACCTGTTGGATAGCAAGGTTTTCGGATTGTTAAGGGTCGGATTATCAAGTCACTACTTACTCTGTAACATGTAGCATGGTGACCTAAATGAAAAAGTTCAGTGCCCCGGTGCAGCCAGTATAAAAAGTCTGTGGAGCCCTTTTCATGTAAATGTGCAGCAGTAGAGACATGGTGTGATCCCTCTGTGTATAATAATAATAATACCCACACTGTCATTGCGTTGTCATGTGATTGTTGCTGTAGCTGAATCTGAGCAGCATTTAAGAGCAACATAAGGGTCACATTGAACAGTCGTGTTTCCTTTTGCTGGCTGAGGAATGTTGATAGAACCAGAGAAAGAACAACCTCAGCTTTGAAAGTGATGAGACGTCATCGTTTAAAACTTCTTCTCCATGTGTCACTCACTCTGTCATTTTCTTGTTTTTCTTCTCTTCTGACACTTTTTTTTTTCGTGTTCACAGGTGAGCCGCCCGTCATCCATCCAGCCACGTGCAGCTCTGCGTTGTTATGGATGCCTGCGCTCGCATCAGAGGAGTCCCGATAAGGTCCAGGGCCTCCGTCCGGAAAGAGGTTTGTCTGCTGGGACACAACTGTAGACTGTGAACATCTGTAGTGTCCTTGAAGCAGTTTTCATTTTGGCACCTGGTGTTCATCAAGGGTTCGTTTTTTTGACCAAAGTGTGTATAATTTTAGTTGGAGACGCCCACATCCGGTGTAGCTGATCGATATTAGCTCCAATCTAAGCCCAATCATTTGTTCACATTTGCTGTTGTGGTGGGATGCTTTGCATAAAAGTACATTAAGAGTCACAGAAGTCTTCATCATGGTACAAAAACCTGCTGTCTTTCTTCATCCGTCCTGCTCATCTAGTGTTAGCATTAGCACCTAGCTGCTCCATCCTCTGAAGAGCAGCAGCAGCCACAGTGTGAGATTCTACCAACACTTTGCATTCAAACATTACATTAACTAGGTTGTCCATTCATCCATGTTCAACATAATTGTTTAGTTTTTATACGTTGACAAAAAAAGGACTTGAAATATTACTTTATATTTAATTTTGTTCCGTTTTTGTTGTGAAAAGTAGGTCTTCAATGATTGTTTATGTCTGACCTGTCTGACAAGGACGCCCTTAATATCTGACCTTACAGAGGATTTTTGAGATTTAAAAAAGCAGTTTTGCAGGACAAAGTGAAATCAGATTTCATTTGCTCCCCACAACAAACAGACGGCTGCATTTTACTTTCACTTTTATTGTTGATGTTACGGTAATATGTCCTAACCCTAACCCTAACCTGGTTTGTATTAGTAATTACAAAGCAGAATTGTTCTTTAACTCTTTGTTTTGGGTGCTTGTGGACTACAGTTGCTAGATGTTTACTGCTGATGTGGTGAGATGTGTGTTTTTTTTAGGGGAACGGATAAACCAGCATAATCTTTAAAGGGATTTTGGATGTCAGTTTAAATATAATTTGATTACTCAGGATCTATATTAAAATCATGTGGGAAAGAGGGCAGATACATAAAAAGAAAAGATGCACACAATGCTGTTCTTTTTTTTGCATTCGTCAGTCATGCATGCCCCAGTAATGGACAAACACGTAAACATTGGTTTCCCATTAGGGCCGAAGGGTAACCATATACTTTTTTCTATAAAACAGTGCATATGTGTTTGCAGACTGTGCGTGACAGCGGAGCTCAGTCGGTGAAGAGCCTCTTTCGGAATAAAAAGGAGCTATGCAGCGTTGGTCTGGAGCTGCCGACCAGAGACGCCACAAGACTGACAGAGGTTTGTCACACAATGGTATAAATGAAGCTAAAAGTTAAAAAAAAAAAAACTGTAACACTGACCGACAGCTGTGCTCTTTCAGATTCATTTTGTGTGTCTGCCTGCTCAGTGTGAAGGAGAAGATGTCACACAGCAGGTAAGTTGTCATGAATCTTGATGAATCCCATGTTTTGCTGTACAGGATTGCGTAATCCATTTTACTCTTTCGTTGGTTGATCCAGACACAAACATGTCAAAACTACCAAATCTGATTATCATTGCTCTAAATGGGACGAACTATCACAATGTCAGCTACTAACTGTGCAGAAAACAGCAGATACCTTCGAATAAAATACACAAAACAACATCAGCAACCGTAGAGCTGCAGCGATTACTCAATTAAACCCATTAGCTCTCAACTATTAAACTAATCGGCAACTGTTTTTCTTCTTCAGGCTCTGTCGTCTCTGCCGGCAGGGCTCTGCGAGCTCCTCCGGTCGCTCCACGTTCACAGCCTCAAGAACGACGAGGTCCTGCTGCTCAAAGACTCCCGCAGGCTGACGGAGCACAAGGACGCCGGGCCTCAGGTAGGTGACGGACCTTTCACTGGGGAGGAATTTGCTCAGTCAGCAGGCCGAGTGAAGCAGAAGTGAGCAGACGACAGGGAAGTGAGAACAACAGGATGTAAGAACAGGCGTCTGTGCTTTGCCTGCCGATAGATTTAGAAAGTACGACAACCCCTTCGGTATTTCTATACTTTAAAGTGTATTCATTTGACATGCACTAAACTTACATACTTGTATATCAGTCAAGTTTATTTGTTTGTGTAGTTTTCAAATTCATTAAAAACCAAAAACTGAAACCTCTCCTTGACAAATATCTACAAATATTCCACTGCAGGTTTTTGTCAGTTGGACCCTGTTTTCTTTATAGGATAACTGCAATATTTTTAAACCGGTGCCTCATTAAACCGATATAGATTTATTATAAATTAATAGGGGCAACATTTTTTTGTTATTGGTTCAATATTAAACAGACAAAATAGCTTTAATCTTACAGGGCGTTTGTCCAAGTATAAATGCTTGTTTTTAACCGCTGACCGGCTCAGATTGTTATTATAAATGTCCCAGAACATGATGTACAAGATTCCTTTAATATATATCAGAAATCTGGCTTTTAAATCTCGTGACACCTGAGTTGTTGCATAAAGACAACAGTGGAAACATGAGCGAGTTGTCCCAGTTGTAATGCAGAAAGTGTATCTCCATTATCTATACACCACTTAATCCTCACTAGGGTCACGGGGGGCTGGAGTCTATCCCAGCTGACTCAGGGTGAAGGCAGGGGACACCCTGGACAGGTCACCAGTCTATCACAGGGCTACACTTAGAGACAGACAACGAAGCACACTCACATTCACACCTACGGACAATTTAGAATCACCAATTAACCTCAACATGTTTTTGGACTGTGTGGGAGGAAGCCAGAGAACCCGGAGAGAACCCATGCTGCACGGGGAGAACATGCAAACTCCACACAGAAAGATCCTGGCTGTCCTCACCGGGACGTGAACCAGCGACCTTCTTGCTGTGAGGCAACGATGCTAACCACCAAGTGACCTTGCAGCCCAGCTTGCTGTTATCTTAAGGATAAATTAAACAAATACTGGTTTGGGTTTGCAGAACTGCAGATTGTCGCAACAAAACCACACATCATACTTCACAAAGACTTGCTTTGGGCGGATAGGGAAGCACTGATTTTGAGTCTAGTTGTAGTTAAAATTGGGTGCACTTTTCACACCATTGTGTTTGCAGTAGACATTTTGACCAGGGTGACTAGTGCCAGTGAGATAGAAAAAGAACTTCTATGCTGAAACACTCCCTCCTCAAGCAAAATGCTGTTCCAAGAGCAGAGGGACCTGCAGCAGACAGACAGAAGGTACCAATATTAGGGAAAGTGAATCTTTCAGTAGCATGGCAGGATGATGGCACAAACAAGCACATTTACATAAACGTGGACAAATGTCCTGTGGCATTCCGTTGAAGCAGTTGCTGGTTTTAGTGTTGTCGGTCCTTTTGGCCGATTTCAAACATTTTTGTCCTCATTAACTCTAATCAACAAAACCCATCAATGGTTTTAAAAGGCATGCTATGTTTTTTTTTTGTTTGTTTTGTTTTTTAAATCTCCAAAAATGACACAATTTATCAGCCAGGAACGGCAAAAACACAGAACACAAATGAGGAAGTTGTTCGCAAGCTGTTGGAAGATACAATCAGCATGGTGAAGAAGCTTCTATCCAGTGTTGATATTCAGAGTCGTGGGAAAAATAGTAAAATATCTCTAGTGTTTAGGGACACCATTCTTTCCCAGTATCGGTCACCCATGTGGGCACATGGGAAATTGTTGTAAATATTGATTACAGGATTTCTTTTGCTATTTTTGTTGAAGAAATAAGCAAAGAAGTTCCACTTTTACTTTTTTTTTCAGGATTTTTGGTATTTTAACTGTGCCGTACTGCACAGAAGACATTTCTAAATTCTTTCTCTACTTCTAGTCATGGCTGTGCTGTTTCCATAGAGGTGCAGGACTTTATATTACAGTAAAAAATGAGCCCACAATGAGTAAACATGTGATCGTAGCACCCAGAACTGGTTGAAGTTCAGAGGGTTAATCATTTAGCCCCAAAAAGAAGGGTAAACATGGTCTAGGAATAGAAATACCCAAATGATCCTTCCTGTTCAGGACTTGCATTCGCCTGTGGAAAATGTAATTGATGTGTGACATAGTTTAGAAAACTTACATAGCTGTGTATATATTCGTACTGCACGTCAAGACAAAAAACAAACGCTTCAGGATGAGTTTCTGCTTGTCCTTGACTGACCCGACTGTTTGAAAACCACAGAACATCTGGAGAAACCTGAAGATGGCAGCTGCTTTCCATGCAATCGTATCCATCCAAACATTTCTGAGAGCATGTTTTCATTCAGTCATATGGGATTGACGTGCTGAAAGGGTGATTTTGTTCATTTGAGATTGAATCTACAACAAAAAAGTGTGCAAAAATTGAAGGGGTTTCTGAATCTATTCTGCTTATTTCCACACGAAAAGCATCAGTGGTTTAAAACAGGTCGTACTTTAGGTAATATTTTTAAAATTTCAGTGGAAGCACTCAATGGTTCTGAAAGTATCATAACTCCGCTCATGTATATGTCAGTTTATTTATAAAAAGTCCGGTTTATTTCCTCTGGAAACATGTACAAACATGGCATGTGTTTATTTCATTTTGAGAAAAGTATTTTTAACACACGCTAGTAAAACAAAATTCTGGTGGTTGTTGATTAGATGGTTCTTCCACTTCATGTCCTCATTTGTTTCCGCGTGTAAACAGAAATGCTGAGTGTTTCTCACGCTTTTGAAGAAATGCAGGTGGCACAGACGGACAGACAGATGTTGTTTTTTCAGCCCACGACTGCAGCTTTGTCCTTCCTGGTGCAGTGTTTGGGTTCACACAGGCCCTGCAGCTCGTTCTGCGGCCTTGTCGTCCATTTCTGACAGCGAGACCTCCCACCTGTGTAAATTAAAGAGAGAATTAAATGATTTCGTATTCCGCAGATGCAGCAACTCCCAATCAGAGCACAGACATAACAACGCGCCTCCAGCCTTCCTGCAAGATTAAGAAAATTCCCATGTGAATTCTGTTTAATTTGCAAAAGTCAAGATCTTTCACAATAACAGATGACTGCAGGAAATGGCTGCTTTGACAGTTTATAGACTCTTGTTTGCCTGTTTATTGCAAATGATGTAATGGCACTCTAAATTTCCTTCTTTCTCCAGTGCTGGTTAAAGGCCGTGTGTGTGCTGAGACATAATCCCAGTGCCAGCGTCTACCCTCAGGCCAGCGTGGCGTCTTTGGTGGGCCTGCTGGGCTGCTACATGGCCGGAGTCCGCTATGCCCTGGAGCTCCAGGCTCTTCAGAGGGGCAGCGCCGAGCCCAGCCAGCCGGAGGAGGACGACACCAACCAGTCGGTGTCGTCGATCGAGGACGACTTTGTCACGGCACTCGAGCATCTGGAGGAGGAGGACACTGGAGACAATCCTGGTAGGTTTAAGATCTAACGCTTAGCAGTGTTTTTGTCGCCTTTTATTTACTTTTTTTTTTAAAACCTTGCTTTTGTATTCCGCTATCACCTGTGCATAACTTTATAAAAATGTAGCAGGAATATAAACTGTCAATTTGCTGCTAGGTGGCACTAACAAGTGTTTATATTGTATTATTTATTTATAGGCAAACCGAAAAAGAGGATACTTAGAAGATACTAAAGGCAAAAAAATGATTTTCAGTGTCAGTAAATTAATAGAACAAACACTACCATTGATACAAAATAAAAGCACATAGAAAACACAATATCACAGAGTGAAACACAGTAAAAGAGATGAATTTGATAGATAAATTAGGTTTATAAAAATAGATCATTCCAAAGCCAAGAGGTCCTGATGGCAAAGGAACATCACCCTTAGATTTAATCCCTGACTTTGGAACAGTCAGAAGGGTCTAAGCCTGCAAACTGGCTCATATGGGGTCAGCATTTGTTAATGTTAAAATCTATTAAAAATGAACAGTTAACAAGTGGAGGGAAGCCAGGTTGGAGGTTATGTGATGTTTTCTCTTAGAACCAGCAAGAAGGCAAACTGCTGCTGTCTGAACTACAGTAGTAGAGTCTTGAGAAAATTAGTGCATGAATGACACTTTCCAGGTCGGAGCATGAAAAGACATGATTTGAGTCTGGGCATGGTTGTTGTTTGAATGAAGCTGGACTGGACAGCTTTTTGGTTTGTGCTTTAAATCTTAGATATATAATATATATAATCCTGACACAATGGATGCAATTATAAGGAGTGCTGCATTGGGTCAAAAACACTTAAGGTGGTAGTTTTAATGTGAAAAAAAAAGAAAACTGATATCAGATGCTCTTCAAGTCCTTAGCATTGGTCAGCAGTCCAAAGAGTGTCCAAATATCCAACTCAACAGGTTATCTTCTACTACAGAAACATGCTCACATGGGACGCCCCTATAGCTCACATAGTTGAGTGGTCGACCCATAAATGGGGGCTTTAGTTCCTCGACACAGCAGTCATGGGTTCGACTCCCGCTCACGACCCTTTGCTGCAGGTCTCTCCCCATTCTTCTTTCCCCTTTCCTGTCTATCTCTACTGCTCTAAATAAAAGCAATAAAGCCCAAAAATATATTTAAAGAAGAAACATGCTCACATATCTGGAGTTACATCCAGTAACAACTATTTGTTATTGTTGTGGTGCATTCGTAGTTAATGTTGCGGCCGAAACTCTCAGAACTGACACTGCAAAGAAAGCAAAAAGGCGTGCAAAGGAAGGTTTGTGCCATCTCCTGCTTGCCCAGACATCCTGCAGTGAAAATCCACCAAGAGAATCTTCATCATGTTGCAGAGAGAAAAGGTGTTGTATATAAAATGAATGGATTTTAGATGGAAGGATAGTCTTTGGACAGCTGACCAATACTAAGGAATTCCATTAATCAAATCAAATCAAGTTCATTGTCATTTTGCTGTACATGCAACAGTGGTACAAACAAGATGAGAGAGTGTTTCTTCAGGATCCAATAACTAAAAGCAATTAAATAAAGTGTTTGCATGTCTGGATCAGCAGTTCAGCATTCTGACAGCTTGTGGAATGAAGCTGTTGAAGCTGTTGCTCAGTCTGGAGATTTTTCCTTCAGTGCTCTGGAAATGTTTGCCTGATGGCAGCAGTTCAAACAGTTTATGGAGGGTGTGAGGAGTCCCTGATAATGTTCAGTGTCCTGCTCCTGCAGCGGCTCTGGAAGAGTTCAGAGCTGGTTGCCTGTCTGACAGCCCAGAACGATGTCGTCCCCTCTAGCTGTATGTCCGTCTGGGATGTTGTCATGGAGCCATGCCTCCACAAAAACACTCGGCAGTCCTTCCACTCTCTGCAGGTTTCTCTCAGCAAACATAGCTCGAAAATCCAGATTGTTGTCGAGGGAGCAGACATTGGAGTGTAGGAGTGACAGTCCTACTGGTCTGGAGGGGTTAGCCTTTAGCCTAGCATGGATCTCGACTGTCTTCCTCCTCCTGTGTTTACGTTCGTACCGCTTGCACTTCCTTCTCTCTCAGGTAACTGCCAGCGTAGTCTCCAATTGGACTCTATGTTGGTGTAGTATGTCCAAATCACAACCGGCCGCCGCAATTTTAGTGACGTTCACTGCCCTGATGTTCAGTAAAGTCTCTCGGCTGTAAGTTTTGCGGAATGAACGTCTGGGACACTTTCACTCTCGCTGCCTTCTGAAGGGGCCACTGCGTCTATGCGTGCAGCCATCTCTATGGAAACACAGATAAGATAATTCCTTATTGGTGGCACAGTGGGGAAATTAGCAGTGTTACAGCAGCATGTGCGATAGTGCTGCAACATATTGCACAAGATTATTCCATAAGCAGAAAAACATTGATATTGCACAGATTCTTCCATGAGTGAGTAACTGGGACAGTCATTGTTTTTGCAGATATTGTTTTTACTCTGTTTGCTCGTGGGTAACTTTTTTTGTCATGTTTGTCTTTTGTTCCTTCTTAATACATGCTGTCAGTGACCAGTTTTTTCCTCTGTATCCTTCATCTCTACAGCTGCAGCTCCATTTTGCCATTTTAAAAAGCGTGATGTGGCATCACAGACGGTCCCAGCCCACAAGAGAAAAAAGGAACTATCAGGCTCCCGTGTTATTATCAGCTCATCCTCAAAGAAGAATTCAGCCAAACACAGGTCAGGTCCAGATGTGTCGGTTACGGTGCAGAGGTCTTCAGGCGTGGAGTCTCAGTGGACTTACTGCAGTCCTGGAGCTCGTCTCCCCTCACCGCTGATTCATGTCAGTGAATCGGAGGAGTCAGACTGTTCCAGCCCCAGCCCAATCATTTTCCTGGACGAAGTGGGCTACCAGAAAAGCCTGCTAGCCAAGCTGGACATCCCCCAGGTACCTGGGGGGCCCAGAGAGCGAGTTGAAGACTCAGACTCTGAAGTCAGCGAGTTCTTTGACAGCTTTGACCAGTTTGACGATCTGGATGAGCTGAGCTCGGAGAGCTGCACTCTCACGCTGCCTCTGGACGCCATCAGTGCCCCAACAGTACACAAAAAGTCTGAATCTGGAACCAGTGGGGCAGTGTCCAAATATGTTTCTAGGGGATGCTCTACCAAGGGAATGAACCCTCACCGCTTCGACCAGCCCACTCTCCCTGCCAATGTGAAAAAACCCACTCCTCTGAAACCAGGCTCTCCTTACTCACTTCACTCAGAGGTGCCTGACTCTCCTCGACCAGTGCAGACCCCCTCTGAAGAGAACGGCGGTCCACTCTTCAGTCCTGTCAGCTCCTCAGCTTTTAGTCCTTTGGTGGACTCTAATGGACCCCTGGAATACTTCTGGAAGACAGACGAGGATGAACAGGACAGCTCGGAGCTCCGTAAACCACAGGATCTCTGCTCACTGTATAAGACCTACTCTGACTTTGCCAGCAGTCTGTCCAAAGAAATTCTGGGATCGGTGTGTGGATATCAGTCTGCTGTCGACATCAGTGACAACAAGAACCTCAGCTGTGTCTGCCACAAGGAGTTTAAGAACCCTTCAGGCTACCTGATGAAGCTCTCAGACATACAGGAGACTGTAACAGTAGCCAAGCTGCAGAAGAAGTCCCAGTCTCTGAAAGACGGCATTCAGAGATTTGCCACTGACCTGGTGGAGATGAGCTTGGGTAGCGCCCTGCGAGACCTCCAGAAAGGCGTATCCACCTGCACTACTACCCTGTGTCACCTTGCTGCCAGACTGACCTCCTCAGTGTTTCAGATGGCCTTCCATGAGATTGGCATGCGGCATGCTTATGTGTTAAAGGAACGTGCGATCAATGGATTAGCTGGTTTCCTAGTTGGAGAGGCCGTGTCTGGGGCACTGAAGGAGTTCCTGACAGTGAAGAAGCAGATTTTCCACAGTACAGTGACACGTTTCGCTGCTGATCTGGCTGAAGAACTGGTGTTTGAAGGCATAATGGAAGTATGTCAGTTTTCCCACCCTTCAACTCCACTTACACCTAGCGATTGGTCTTTTGGCCACGGGCAGGAGGAAGAAGAAGAGGAGGAGGAGGTGGTTTCTTCCTATGCTTCAGATTTGTCTGAGTCAGTAATCCAGGAAGCCTTCATTGAGCTGTCTCAGGCTGATGTTGCCTTCACAAGCCAAGCAGCAATCAGTGTGTCCTTGGACAACATCTGTTACGTCAGTGCAGAAAATACCAGTACTCATACCTGCAGTACCTTTGCTAACCAGCAGGTTTTAAGTTCCAGCTCCACTGCAGCATTGCCTGGGCCCTCAGGAGAGGATGCTACTTGCACTGTGAAGAAAGCCTTGTTCACTGTATCCGGCATGGCCAGCTGTATCCCTGTCCCCCAGGCAGGCCACGCCCTCTCCCACCTCCAGGATTCAGAAGAGACCTCTCAGCAGAAGTCTAGCTTGACAAATAGCCCACAGTCCAGCCCCAAACGAGTACCTGTGTCATCCTGTGACACCACCACATCTGCACAAACTCACCTTTACAGTCATGGAACCCAGACCTCTACAAATGTAGGTGACCCCTCCCAAGGGAAGTCTCCTTTCCAAAACTTCTCTGGCAACATGGTGGATATGATCGTAACTGAGGCATGTGAGCTGATAACTGCCTCAAAGATGAAGAAGAGTTTTGGTGACTGTGCTGATTTTCTCACAAAGACAATCGGAAACCGAAGGGACTCTTCCTCAAAGCTGGAGACCCCAGATTCCCCTTTAAAGCAGGGAGTTGGCAGGGAGAGTTTCAGATATGACCACAGAGATTCTGGGTGTATTCGGCAGGGCGGATCAGTTGAGCAAGCAGCAGAGCTTCCTCCCATTTCCTTCCAGACAGGCTCTGCAGGCCTGGGAAGAGTCCAGTATGATGCCAGGAACAGAGGTGTAACTGAAACACATCCTGCAATGATGGACACTCTGGATGTGCCAGGTACAGAGATGGGAGGACAGAGGAGGATATCTGCTCCCGTGGATGACTCCGCTCCAAGCTCCGGTCAAAAATCCGGCGGGACTCCTGGCACTCCTCCATCCACCCCTCAGCAGCCCAGTGAGGTTTCCAAAGAGAAGCAGATAAAACAGTTCTCCAAGAAGCTGAAAAGCAAACTGGCGAAAGAGTTCTCTCCTGCAACGCCACCTCCAACCCCTCACTATCAGCCCGAGCCCGGCCCTGGTCCAAAAGATGCCATCCCCGAGGCGGACAAAGCGGAGTTTATGCTGAAACTGATGCGGTCTCTTTCTGAGGAGGCAGATGGCAATGAGGATGAAGAGGAGGAAGAAGCAGCAGAGGAAGGCGGCATTGGTGGCACTAACAGATGTGTAGAGACTGGCGGCGGACAGCCGGTGTCTTCTCGCAAGGTGTTCAACAAGGAAGCTCTCCATTACGCCGAGCGACTGGCGTGCCACATAGTTTCCATGGCAACTGAGATGGACACCCTGGGAGTGGCAGAAGAAGGAGAGGCGAGGAAAGGTGGTGAGAGGCGGAGGGACAGCGTGGCACAGTTCTCAGAGCATACTCTGAACACATTGTGGGTGTACGCCGGGGAGGTGGCTGGAGAGGTGATTAATGATGTGAAAAGGATGGTGAGCTCTGGGCAGCAGTGTCCGTACCACAGATCTCTCAGGAGGAGAAGCCTGGAGAGGACCAGCTCTGAATGTTTGCATCACCACCACCGACCCCTGTCTCAGCCCAGTACAGACCAGAGCAAAGACAGAAGGTTAGGGAGGCTGGCTGAGCAGTGGTCAAATGACCTGATCGCATCAGTGTCCCGGTCTCCGCCCTCCACTTCCATCTCCAGCTCCAGCTCCGGTCTGTCCTCTGAGTATCCCAGCTGTGAGAGCGTGACTGATGAATATGCCGGCTACCTGATCAGGGTGCTGAAAAAGGAAGGCGGCAGCAGGGAGTTAGTCTTGGACCAGTATGCGAGCCGTTTGGCGTATCGCTCTATAAAACTCGGCTTAGCTCACGCCAGTCGAAAGATCAAGCAAAGATCCTCGAGCACTCGCCTTCAATCCTCTAAGTCACTGCCAGATGAGTGGAAAACTTCTGGCAGTGAGGCCTCATCACCCAAAGACAGAGCAGACCCAGGCGAGGAGACTCAATGCTGCTGCAGGGACTCTGAGGAGCAGAACAGGAGGGAGTACATGGATCTGGTCAGTTTTGCAGAATCTTTAGCTTACAACATCACCTGCGACGTCACACGCAAACTGCATCTTTCCTCCGTGCGACTGCCAAAGTCTCTCACCGACTCCTGTCTTTATAAGAAGTCCAGACTTGAAGACATGACAGAGAATCTCATCAGAAATTCCTTCTCTTGCCCCCTTTTGTCCAAGGAGGGTAAGAGCAGACACTACCACAGCACAGGAAGCCTGTACGACAGTGGTTACAACAGCAGGGTGATGCAAGTCATCGAGCATTACGCCAGGAAGATAGTGGACGACACGCTTAAGATGAGCCTGGCATCGGTTGGACATTCGTCCCAGGATCACCAGAGAACCCAAGGCCACGACAGACACTACCACACCCAGAGGCTGTCTGAGGGCCCCGGGCTGGTCCGGGCACTGGGGGAGAGGACGTGCCGGTACTGTCAGGTCCAGGAGTGTCCGTTCTATACCAAACTAAGCCGGCACCACTACCAGCCAGTGTTACAGAGCAGGAAAAGGGGGGCAGAGTGTCAGGCAAGGACTGAGCGGCTCTCTGGTCTGGAGATTCCCAAGATTCACATCGATCTGGACCACAGGGCAGCATTTGCAGAGGAGATGGTAACCATGGCGATGGAGACAGCGAAACGTGAGCTGAGTAACACCAGCCTTAACGCCGACAGTGGCATCGGCCATGATGGCACCAGTTACGCTGAGAGTCTGACTGCTGAGATCATGACATCAGCGCTGTCCAACATCTGCCAGGCTGCTGTCAGGTACAAACACCAGCATTCATTCATTTCACTGCAAAATAAAGTCCTGAGCTTCTGTGGAAAGTCAACCATGGTTAGAAGTAGAGAGAACTTAGGAATGTCTTCTTTGCAATATGCACAGTTACACAGTTATGATGCTGTAAATCGTTTTTTAAAACAATGGTGAGTGCAAACAGTTTATTTTAGGACAATTTTTAAATGAGGCATATAGAAGTGATTTTAATAAGTTATCAGCTTTCAAAGTCAGATGTAGTTAAGTTCTCCAGTGAATGGCACATTACAGATGAGTAGTTGGTAAAGCAATGACAGAGAGAACGTGAATTTGCTGGTATAAATATTTGCATATGTTTTGACTTTCTCTCATTTTTGTCTCTTTGCATCTCTTTTTGCATTTAGTTCTCCAGGCAGGGAAGCCACCGAATCCACTGTGTCCCAGCAGCTGAGTGTCGGAGACGATAGTCTTGGCAGCTGGTCCAACCTGAGTTTTGAAGACGAGCATCTGGATGACAACAGCAGCTTCCTCCACCTGAGTGACAGGTATACAACCACTAACTTAAATACACAGCATACTCCCTGAATGCCAGCATTTTACTGTAGCAATAACTATGAAAGGCACATTTGCGCAGACACTTAACCCCTAACTGATGTCTTGAAGAAATATATTGATATTAACCTGATCAAACGTCCATTATGACACTTCTTGACAAATGTGGTAATATAGTAATGCATTAAATAAACTTGTTGCATGTACAGCCATTAAGCTATTCGTGAGGTGGCTATCAGTTAGTGAGGTTCTGGTTTGACGGGAGCTCTTTAACATACACAGAGTTATAGGGCTGGGCCCGAATAGCTGAATAGCCGACTATTCGTTCGCTGTGCTGGAATTGGGATATCAAACTGGATCTCCGAATATCCCCGCCGCCGTGGAAACGGAGCCATCACTGCTAAGCTAAACACAGAAACTGGTCTGTGCAGCCAAATGCTCACGCTCACTCCAGATCGTCGGAGCCCCTGCCCCCCCCGTCGACAAATTACAGTCAGCCGCCACCACTGCGCAGCACCCCTGAATATTAATATAATATATATTCATCATTGATTGGGACCGAATGTCCGTAGATCAGAAATTGCTATTCGGATCAGCCCGACAGAGTTAGATGATCAGACTTGTTTTGAGTGTTTAGCTGTCTTTTTGATTAATTTAACTTTTAGCTCTCCCACTGTTTCCCTGCTGTCTACATTGTAATCGGACACAGTAGTGCGGACAAGAAAGCATATTTACAGATAGTTTAGGGGCAGTTTTTAAGTTTTCTACCAGGACTAAGAGTTTAGAAATTGCTGCTGCGAGCTGGGTGTAGTGTTTTATTTTCTTAGTGTTTCCCAGAAAGTATGCAGCAATATTTTTGTGGATACGATGACAGCTGCTGTTGCCGTCTCACAGGACGCAGGCTTGCCTTTTCCAACAGGATGTCGTTCTGCAATTGGTCTTCTGTATAAAAATGGGCGATCTGTTAACACTCTGAACCCCAAAACCCAGCACTGGGTTTGAAAGGCATGTTTTCTTTTTAAAAAATTAATTTTTTTAGAGCCAGAAAATGTAGAAACAGAAAAAAAGTACTGTTATCTTGGTCAGTTCAATTGGGAAAATAACCAAAATCCAAGAATAAAACTGTGATATTTCATCAAAGTCAAATTACTCAATGTGTCTCATTTAAAAAAGTTTGTAGAGGTTGTATTTAAATATTTACGGGATTAAGATGCACCAATTTTTTGAGTAGTGGTAATACCTGTAAGTGTGTTCATTGGACATGTTCACAGGGTATTCACATTTTTGTAGGATAAATTGTCAAAGAAATTCAACATTTATTCAGTATATTTTTATGATTTATGGCATATAACTGTGTTATACTGCACAGAAGACATTTCTGAGTTCTCTGTACTTCCAGTCATGATTGTGCTGTTTCCATAGAGTTGAGGTGCAGGACTTTATGTTCAGAGGAAAATGAGCCCACAGCGAGTAAAACTGTGACAGGAGTCAACAAAAACGCCCCAAAACTGCTTGGGGTTTAGGGGGTTAATTTGCAAAGTGGCATCCAAGGATCTGAACTGTTGAATTGCCTGTTTTTTTTATCTTTCAGTCAGAGGAAATAGACTTTATTTATGTAGTCATGAATACAAGACAGAATTCAAAATGAGGTTATCACTTTGGCCATGCTGTTTTGATTTGTGCTGTTCATCTCTTCAAACCCAGAACAGTACACAAACTATCTTCTATTGCTAGTGTTGGACCTGATTTAGAAGGAGTCTCCTGTGGTTGCAGAAGTTCAGAACAGGGCACGCTGTGTTTTGGGAACCTCGTTTAGATTTTCCTGCCAAAATGCAATTTTCTCTGATTTGTGCAAATGTTGCATTATACATGAGCTCTGAACGTTATGTTGTTAAATATTTTATGTTGCTGTCTCTGCTGCCAAGGTTTTAGTAGTAGTTGTGACAGAACTGGCCTCTTGGAAGGATATCACCTCTGACAGGGTCTCACGAAGCCTCTGGGAATAAGGCTGTTGACATTTCTGGCCAAGGTTTCTATCTCTATGGAAGCAAAACTGACAACATTTGAGATTCTTTCCCAAGATACCGAAAGAACACACTGTGTGTTAGCAGCTAGTTATTTTGGCCATCGGGGCCAAGTTAATGTATCATAATATTTTCTAAAGGTGTGTCTTTGAATGCTCTCCTCACTTTAGGCGCTGTTTCTGAAGGAACAAAGTCCACCATGTGCAATTCATTACACTCTCTTCAAAAGCCCGCTGCAATCATTTCCGCCCTGCAGATGAAAAAGCGAAAGGAAAAAAATCACCTTCATGGGTTTATTAAGACACGGAGGGTGATGATTGACTAAATGAAGCAGCTCTCAGCACTCAGTCAGACCACAGAAAGCTGTGGCTGAGGTAATGCAGATTAATGGAGGTATTTTTAGATATCAGAAATGTTTCTCCGACATTGTTGCACGCCACAGTGTGCAGGTTCCAGCCAGCAGGCTAATGATTGACTAATTACAGCGAGAGTGCTCTGTGTGTTGTTGTGCTTCTGTTGCCAGCTGGTTGTCCTGGTGGAACCCACAGGATTAACGAGATTATGTTAGGACAAGAATGTAATGATCTCACATCTCAGGCCTTTAGCAACAAATTATCTCAATCAACATTAGCGAATGATTCAGTGGAAAAATGTGCATCATTCAAAGAATCCTCCTCTGTTTTAGGACCTCACCTGACATTTAAAGGATTATTCCAAATGCCTGAAATGGTGATCAGCCTCAGTATTGTTTATTGACAGTACGTGATGGATATGGTCATTATAGCAAATGAAACTGCTTATTATATCCCGCTCTTGTTGCTGCATTTCGGCCGCTCTCACGTGTTGGTGCTACAGCGGTGTGTTAACTGCCTTCTCTCTCCAGCAGCAATGGGAACAGCAGCAGCTGGAGCAGTCTGGGCCTGGAGGGGGAGGCGGGTGAGGAGCGCATGTCATTCTCCCCATCTGACAGGTAGGTTGGAAACTGGGTAATGTGGCTAACTTTTCAAAACTACACTGAGCAAGTAACATGCAGACCAAGCAGCTGCTGCAGCACTACGCTTCCACTGTAATAGTGGACAGATAACATCAGCCACTTGGTAATAGGAACACTGTCCAAAGTAAGTGGTGCATATCCACAGCCACAAAATAGTGGCAGAAATAGACCAGTTTTCTATTTTTATCTCTTGCATGCTGCTCTTTTACACAGACATGGTGCCTATATTGTTTAAATTAAATTAATTTACTTTATTTTGATTATATTTAGTATCTGCCAATACCCAATACCATTGTCCTGTTTAATACACGCTTCATGTATTGCAGATTAGCTGTATTACCTGTTTTTTTTCTTGGTGTTTGATACTGTAGCGACCAGAGGATGGGAGCACTTTCATGCTGGCAAGCAGAGAGCATTGTGGGGTTTTAGCTAGTAAAGGAGCACCATGACAAAGATTTCTGTGTTGCTTAATGACCTTAGGGAAACAAGCAGTGTTATTAAAATAGATAGTCCACTGCAAAAAATAAAACTGACAGAGGTGTCTTACTGGACAATTCAAATTCTCAGCAGGAGTTGATATTTCAAGTGCGGTAGGTTGCTGCTCAGATGTTTGTGGTGGTAAAGAGGATTTTGAAAACAGTAGCACGCAGATATTGGAAGGAGAGGGGACAGCCAACTGACTTATATCCAGGTCCTACATTCAGCGAGTCAGACTGACATTTTCCTGGATAATACATGCTTCAAGTGTTGTCGATTACTTGCAGTACCTGGTTGCGCCACCAGGTGGAGATTTTTAATGGTTAATACTTTACTTGTAGCAGCAACAGGAAACAGGCAGTTTTGTGTTTGCAACAGAGAGCATTGTGGGGGTTTAGCTAGAAAAAGGGCACCATGACAGTTTTATTTGACGTTTAATCACTTCTGACCAGAACTTGTGTTAAACCAAGCTTGGATCAAAGAGGATAGCATTCCGGTATTCTAGGACCATATGGAACAACAACCTTTGCAGCCTTTACCTTATGTCCATAGCTCAAATATTACGCAACTTAAAACATTATTAGCTAGTATATAAGCCCATTCCCCAGCACATCATATCTTCAGATCGTCTGCCTACATTATGTGCTCAATGTAGCCAAAGCTACGACCTGTGGCTTGACCTGGAATGACACAAAGAATGAGCTAAGAAGCTGAGTGAAACCAACATGGAGTAAAAAAGGAAGCGTGTGACAGTTCCACCAGTGGAAAAATCTCTGGAGCCAGAGAATTTCCTCATCATATGAAAATGATTTCCAACATTGTACAATGGCATTTTGATTTATAGTTTGTCTCATACTAGGAACCACCGTCCCCATGCATGACCACAGTTAACCTCTCAATATAAATAGCCTTGACATGGCATATGCTTGTAGATGTCCACATGCAATGTGTTGCAGAAGTTCTGTTGTTTCTGTATTACTTACATGTAATTTGGTTGCCTAATAGGATAATTAGTAGTTTTGTTATATTCTGGGGGTTCATACTCTTGTTATGTTTCTGCAGTTCAAAACCCCTATTCATTATCAAAACAAGCTCACTGAGATATACAGCAGCATTAACACTTAAAAACAGACGATTGTTTCTGAGGCTTGTTTCAGCTCTTAGCAGTACGGTGCAATCTGTCAGCCTGGTATCATTAGAGCTTTACAGTCTACAAACAACTTCTAGGAATTTTAGGTTTATTTTCCATCAACACATTACATTCCAAGCCCATCAGTGCTTTACAAACGGCATGATCAGTACTGACAAAAAAAAATACGATGACAAAATATGTACTGTATTGAATATTTCAAGCATGTTTGTGCATGTTGATACTCACCTAACATCAACTGAAACAAGAACAACTGCTGCAGCCTGGAAAAAGGCCAAAACCTGCTAAACTACTATTATATGCTTTTGTTTCAACATTTACTGTCAACTGCATTATGAAACTGTACATTAAAGATTAAAAGAAGCCCAAATCTACATTTGTGTAAAATTTTCTGATGAAAAGCAGCCGTTACCTGTTCTTTGGTGCCAGACTCCAAAAAGTACAACGCAATATGATTAAGTAATACCATATATTGTGTACACCATAAAAATCCATTGCTGCAAATGCTCAAAATCTGTGAGTATAGTAAGTAAATTTAATGTTTTTGCCATCTATGTGTTAATGTAACCTGCCTGGATATTTGATCCATAAACTAAAAATATGTTGTGTCGCAATATAAACATATACAGAGTTTTGAATCTATTTTTCTGTAAAAGCAGGACAAAAGTTTGCAAGTGCCAGAGACAGACATACTAACTGAATAAATAAACAGTGTATTATTCTGTTACATTATATTGGAGTGCACGCCAGTGTTTTCCATCTTGCCCCAGCATTCATTGGTTTATAGATGCATACAAATTCTGTCTGCTTCAAGTCTGATCATAGCAGCACAATTAACCCTCTGAGGTGTAGTTACTTTGTCAAGCTTAAAATTGTGATATCTCAGTAAAAGCACTTTTTATTCCACATTTCTCATTTACGTGTTTTCCCCAAATACACTGTTAGCACCAGGTGGTGTAAAAAACCAAAAAGTTCTGTGTTCCTCGACACAACCGAAAACCTACACTTCACTCAGCTGCTCACAATTTTCAGCTGAACTGCAGAGCAGATAGGAGACACACATGGAAACAAAACTGAAACATTTAGAGAAAATTAAATCATATCTGATGAATAAAATAAGTGCAGCATGGCAAGAAAATGGTACACAGAGGAGAAGTTGTTGGAAGACACATTCAGCATGGTGAAGCATCTTCCTAGAGTTGATATGTGTGTTTTTACATATACTTTATATAAGTATATGTAGAGCAACCTTAATTCTAGAGACTATAGACTTATGCTTACTTGCCAAAATGTTGAACATCCATTATCTATACTCCGCTTGATCCTCACTAGGGTCTGGGGGTGCTGGAGTCTATCCCAGCAGGGGACACCCTGGACAGGTCACCAGTCTATCACAGGGCTACACTTAGAGACAGACAACCAAGCACACTCACATTCACACCTACGGA